GAGTACGTAAGATGTAAATATTTTTATAATATGTTTAGCTATATTTTTTTCATACGTTTAATTTAGTTCAATTAGATTTAATTTATTTGCATATTATTTGTCATTGGAGCATATTGTATTAGATTTTGCCGAATGGCTTTTCAATACAAAATAAAGAACAAATAAAATAAAATATTTATCATTTTTCAAAATACTTAATTCTGAAATAATTATTATTCGCCTTGTTAACAATTTTGACATATCATGTTCCCAATTCGCCGATGCGGCTACCATATATATCTACCTGGTTCCAGACTAACGTTACCGAAAATCCGACGGGGCGTACAAAAAAATTCAACTTCCCCACTATGGCAAAATGTTGTGTACGGCCGTATTACCCAAATACGTCGAATACATATCTTAAAGCAAATAATACAAACCGCAACACAAAATTGAAAATTTATTAAATTAAGCCACATATTTTTAGTTTCCATTCGAAATTCCAAATTTCATGAATCGTTTGTTTTTATTTTCAATAAGTCCTGATTTATATTAGGCGAGTTTACTTGCGGCAATTATTATCGTTCCCTTTTGAACTTGCTTCATTCGTCTATACAAGGCAATTCGGTTTCAAAAATATTTCTTTTTTCATTTGATGTCAATAATTTTTTCGCATTTTAATAAATATAAAATGTCAAGAAATACGAAATACACAAAACGAATTGCCGGAAAATTGTCGGTACGAGCAATTTTTTCCATTTCTATTCCCCTTGCCCCTCTCTCCTACAGTCAATAACTTGCCGCAAGTAAACTCGCCTAATCTAAATTGGGACTAAAAGACAAAAAATGAAAAATACGTTATGTCAAAGTTGACATTTTTCAACATGAAATTTTGTACGTTCGACGTCAAGGTAGATATATAAGGTAGCCGCATCGGCGAATTAGGAACATGATATAACAAGGCGAATAATTACAGATTCGCCGTAACATATCAAATTTGAAGCGAATTTCAATCAACCAATCAGAATTCAGCATTTTGAAATATTAAAAATATTTGTTTACTTTTTGGTCATTTTTAAAATTGTGAATGTTTGTGCAAATTCAGATTGGTGAATGAAAAAGAACATCAAAACAGCATTTTCAATTCAATGAAGAGCGTGTGGATCGAAAAGGACGTGTACCATTTTCCCTTGAATTTTAATGTCCTCCATGGACTTCAAATGAAATTGGAAAAAAAAATTAAATAAACTATGATAAAGGTAGGTATATAAAACGTATTTTGGTGTCCACTATGAATATAAAATTAGATTTAAATGATTTTTCTAACAAAAATCAAGCAAAATTTAACTGTTACAGATTTACAAATGTCCAAATACGGACAGAATATTCTGGATGTAGGATGTTTGTCCAAAACATTGTATTGAAAAAACTATCTTTGGGAATAGGCTTCATATAGTAGATTATCAGGACATATTCTTATATAAGCCTAAAAGATTTATTGAACACGAAAAGATCCAAAGATTATATAAGACAAACATTACATACAGAATAACAAACGGCATTCTTTCAGAACACAAAATAGTCTATAGGACCAAAATGTCTTCTTAGGCCAATAGGCATTTTAATAAAATTTCAATAGGACATCTTGCGGAATTCAAAAAATGCGTCTATATACAATCAATAGATCTGTTTATCGGCCACAATATCATATTTATTTTTCCAAATGTCTGAAAGAGTCTTCTTTTCAAAGGAAAACATTATTTTATAAAAGTATGTGCTTTCATGGGCGGCTTATCAGTCATGTTTCCATCCGTAGTCTTCTTTACTACCAAATGCTCTTCATTTATAAATACCAATGTCTCCTCTAAATTCGTTTCTTGTTAGTTGTTTGTTCTTTATTTCTTAGTTGTTTGTTCTTTATTTCTTAATGATTCCAATTTCTATTTGGAATTATATTTATTTTTACGGCAAATTTTTTAATGTTACCATCACCTGGTTTGATACGGTTACCTTCTTAATATACCTTGTATCAAGGTAGATATACAAGGTAGACGCATCGGCGAATTTCTACAACAAACATCTGTTGTTGTATTTTGATATGTCAAAAATATTTTGCCAAAACAAACAGATTGACAAGATGTTTTTACACAAATTGTTGTAAAAAATTTTAATAAAAGTATTGCCAAAAAATCTATTCGAATTTCGGAGATTTTCATTTATATTTTTTTTTTTAATTTTTTGGTTCAACATTTAACAAAATTTTTGACATTTATTTGTCCAACAGCTGGGCCGATGCGGCTACCTTATTAAATATACCTTGCCTTGTATATAAGGTAGCCGCATCGGCGAATTGGGAACATGATATGGCAAAATTGTTATCAAGGCGAATAATAATAATTTCGCCATGACATACAAAACTCAAAGCAAATTAAATTCAACCAATCAGAATTTAGTACAAGGTATATTTAATAAGGTAGCCGCATCGGCCCAGCTGTTGGACAAATAAATGTCAAAAATTTTGTTAAATGTTGAACCAAAAAATTAAAAAAAAAATATAAATGAAAATCTCCGAAATTCGAATAGATTTTTTGGCAATACTTTTATTAACATTTTTTACAAGAATTTGTGTAAAAAAATCTTGTCAATCTGTTTGTTTTGGCAAAATATTTTTGACATATCAAAATACAACAACCGATGTTTGTTGTAGAAATTCGCCGATGCGTCTACCTTGTATATCTACCTTGATTTAGTACTTTGAAATATGAAAAAAATATTTGTTTACTTTTTAACATTTTGAAAATTTCAGTAGTGTTGGCGGGTTATTTGGGATACCATTTGTATTTTGTTTTTGCAAAATAGTCAGGCTTAATCCCAGTTTGTTGTTTTTATAAAAAACAACTATTTATTAGTGGGGAATGTATGGCATTGTCCGCCGAGGGGTAAGGCAGGGAAGACTATAGTTTCGGATCTCGCCACTGATCCTCATCAGTTCCCTTAGTTTTTTGTTGGGATATTCTCCCCAGAAGCTATTAATAGCTTCTTTACAAAAAACCTTTCAAACCCAAATGTCTCTTGTGACAATTCGAAGTTCTTACGTTACCAGCGATACGACCCCAATGAGAAGTTCGTTTCGTTGGCGCCTGACTTCGTGGTCAACAAGCCATTTACAGACAACTACAATACATTTCCCACTGCTATGTGTCGTCACTTTGTGACGAATGCACATAACGTTGTTGTTGGTATTGCTAGTTAAAGCAATAAACCAAACAGTATGACCGTGCCTCGTCTACAACTTCAGTAGTGTTGGCGGGTTATTTGGGATACCATTTGTATTTTGTTTTTGCAAAATAGTCAGGCTTAATCCCAGTTTGTTGTTTTTATAAAAAACAACTATTTATTAGTGGGGAATGTATGGCATTGTCCGCCGAGGGGTAAGGCAGGGAAGACTATAGTTTCGGATCTCGCCACTGATCCTCATCAGTTCCCTTAAATGCCTTGTTGACCACGAAGTCAGGCGCCAACGAAACGAACTTCTCATTGGGGTCGTATCGCTGGTAACGTAAGAACTTCGAATTGTCACAAGAGACATTTGGGTTTGAAAGGTTTTTTGTAAAGAAGCTATTAATAGCTTCTGGGGAGAATATCCCAACAAAAAATTAAGGGAACTGATGAGGATCAGTGGCGAGATCCGAAACTACAGTCTTCCCTGCCTTACCCCTCGGCGGACAATGCCATACATTCCCACTAATAAATAGTTGTTTTTTATAAAAACAACAAACTGGGATTAAGCCTGACTATTTTGCAAAAACAAAATTTTGAAAATTGTAAATATATGTGAAAATATCTGATTTGTGAATAGAAACCAACATCAAAGGAGCGACTTAAAATCAATAAAGTTGGCGTCAGCGGATGTATGGAGAGATAACAAGATTTGGACTAATTTTCCTTAGTGTTTTATATCCTCATATGAAATGTGAAAAACAAATAAATAAAGCATAACTGAAGGCATAGAAAACGTGTTGTGATGTCCACATTGAACCGCTCCAAGAACCTCAAGTGTCACCACACAGACGAACTATTCTGGTCGAATGGTCTAGTTTTTGCAAAACGTCTTTTTAAATAGAAGACAAGAATATTTTTTTTTTATAAAAGACCGAAGTGACTTATCGAAGATAAAAAGCAAACCATGTAATCTTTTAGAAGACAAAAAGGTCCAATCGAACCTAGATCTTCTTTTCAATTTCAAAATTGGGTTTTCGGATCCATGGTATTCTCATCTCAATGGCCAACCGATATGCCTTTTTAATCCCTTTCTGTTCGACATTTTCAAATGTATTTATTTAAAAATGGTTTTGAAAAAAAAAACAACAACAACAAATTATTATGACATATAATGTTACCATCAGCTGGTTTGATACGGTTAACCTTACCTTGTTCGACGTATTTCGGTAACATTCATATAAATACATGTGTTCTACTTTTGTGAAAAACGTCGAACGAGCTAGTTGAATTTTAGGTAAGGCTGTAATGCGATAAAAAAAATCATTTTCATTTCAATTAAATTTGACATTGTATTCAAAACAATACACATACACAAAATATGTATTTTGATAGAACAGGCCACCTTTAGAAAAAATTGTAATCAGTTGTTAGCTATGCCTTACCTTGTAATTATTATATATAATTATACCTTGAAATTCACTAGAATATGAATGTTACGAATATGAATGTTATCAATGTTACGCCGTCTATATCAACAATCGGCATCTAAAAAATCTAGAATAATTACGTTTTTGATGTAAATAATGTAATCTGGCATAATGAATCCACGTTTTTTAAGTTTTCGCTAAATTGTATTTATTTGTTATCTTGAAAATTTTAAAATACATGCAGGAATAGTATTTTAATTTATTGATGCATTTATAGTTGAGTCCATTTTAATCTCAATAAATTCAAAAACTTGACATAATAAACATACACTGATCATAAACTAAATAAAATTCAACAATACAATTTGCTCGTTAGGCTACTGTTGATGTGGACATTTTAGAAGAAAGTTTCCTCGGCAAACGGCTTGGAGCCAATGATAAGTTCAATCGCTTCGAACGCGAGCTTTGGCCTTTTACTGGGGACGAGCTGGATGCAGAACTGTTCTTATCCGGATGTTGTCTGACAGGAATGCGACTTTTACGTGCTTGTGTTTTATGTACGGGACTTAACAAACCAAGATTTTCCTGCGAATATCGCTTTCTCGTTATAATCATTTTCGAAATAAGCTGTTTTTTAGCAGAATTTCTCGTAGTAACAACGGGACCTTCCTTCTGTTTTTCTGCTGTTTTTACAACTGTTTTGTTTTCTCTTTTGTTACGAGGTGTTTTATTTTCAACGTTTGATATCATCTGAGCGTCATCGCTATTTTTATTCTCTTTATCAGATGCAGGACTTACGCCAGCGTTAGAGTCAGTATCCCTTCCATTTGCCACATTATCATTATTCTTTGGGGTTCTTGGTGCACTTGACTTTAAAACGTCAGCTATATTCTGGGTGTCTTTATAAAATTAAGAAAAATTTTGTTTTAACATAAATTTACATGGATCATTATTTTAAGAAAAAATCTAACCAACTTTTAATAGAAATGTTTATGCATATTTGGAGATAACAAATTCCCTATACAAATACGTATTTTGGTTAAAGACGTTAAATTTAAACAGTCAGTTCTAAATGCCATTAAATACAGAATTAGTTCAGATCAGGAGTATTGTTTCTTATATTTTTGTGTTTATGCATATTTGGAGATAACAAAGCCCCTATACAAATACGCATGGTTAACTCGCTTGGTGTCATCGTCTTTGATTAAAACAGTCAGTTCTAAATGCCATTAAATGCAGAATTAGTTCAGATATTTCAGGAATATGAAGACAGTAGACTTCGGTTTAGGTATAGAACTTAAACAGCTTAACGAATTATATTTTTAGGCAATTAGTAAATGTTGCTTGCCCATCCAGTCGGTCAGTAAGGGTGTGAAAAATTTTTCAATTTCTGGCTTTTAAAACATATACATTCTATGTAGTTTCAATTTCTGTTATGCAACCAAACACATAAACTTGGCTTCATTATATATAGTGTTTTTGACATGTATTTATATGATAACACTCATAATATGGTAATCACCGAGTTACTTGAGATAATAAGGTGTTAATAATATATTATTTTACCTATTTCAATGCATGGTTGTTTTCGTAAAGGCGATGAGATGGACTTCGAAGAGGCTGATGAAAGAGATGCCGGAGACTTTCGTAAAACCCTTTTGCGTCCATTTCGAACGGGAGTGGAATCCACGACCTAATAAAGCAACAGTAAAAGTAAAATTTATGTTAGAAAAATTATAATAATAATATCCCTAATTAACTCTCTTCTTGTTTGCCTCCCTCCCACTAAAAAAATATATGATGTATACTTTATTCATATAGATATGTTTGAAAAGTATAAGGTCTAGCCCTCTATGAATGAAAAATGATACACAGTTTTAATTTTGTTTTTCATTTTTAACATTAGTATTTTTGTAAAAAAAAACTATTGCCATAATTACAAAGTTAGAGATATGAAAACAGAATTCGGAATTGAGACTGATTTAATAGCTGATAAAAGGAGGCAAACTACGTTTATTGTTGGGAAAAAATTAATTGGGTAATGAAAGCAATGAAATGTTTTGTCTTCTTTATAGGTGAAGTCTTCTACTTCTCGTAGTTGGAGTCGTACTCACTTTGTCATTGCTTTGTGACATATTGCGGTTTGTACGACTACGCATCGAACGTACGGAATCGGTAGCTCGCAAACGCATTGTTTTTTCTAAGGGTGCTGCAGTTGGAGACGCGGGTATGACTTCAGATGTATCCAACTAATGAGCAGAAAAGAAAAATAATTTTAAATAATATTTGAGAACAATTATTAAATAACTTACATCTTCCGATATTGCAGTCTCTGGCCCATTTACTTCGTCATTGCACCTGGTATCATTATTAGCCATTGTATGATCGGGATCATTTGTTATATTGACATGCTTGTCTTTTGTTGAACTCGGTGAAATTGGTGAGCAGTTGTTCACACCATTACTTTGATTGATTTGAGTTTTTGTAGATTGTCCCTCCCCAACAGCAGATGTTCTCTGAATTTCTGCTTGAGGTGATGTAACAATCGATGCAGAATGCTGTTTGGAGGGACTTACTAATATCATTTCTATAATTGTCTCTGGTTCCTTTTCTCTAGTGATATTGTCTTTGTTCTTATAGCGTAAATTTCGACGGACTCGAGGGCTAGCACTACTTGTTTTTCTAGGCGTGGTTTCTACCTTTTTAACAGAGTCTATACGAGCTTCTATTCGAATTTTATTAGGTCTTGTCGTACTATCAGTGAGATTTATTTGGTTGCTATCAACAGAATCATTACGTGATTGTCTAGACCTTCTTCGCAGAAGGTTATGTATGGTTCGATTTTCGCTTCCGAATGTAGTAGTAATGCTAGTCGACGTGGGTGAAACGGGCACTGCTGTTGTTGGAACGAAAGTCGGCTCATTTAAGACATTAACACCACCCATTTGAGATGATGACATGTTATCATTACTTTCATCCTGTTTTGTATTTTCTGTTAAACAGTTTGTAATTGTTTGATCGTCATTTTGCTTTTCTAAACTTTTGTCATTATGACACATATCAACTGTACCATCTTCCTCTTCCTCCTCATCATCGGAAGCTAAATCTCCATCTAAGCGTTTTGGAGGAGGATTAAACACGCCGTCAAGAAGGTCTTTAAAGTCGATAACGTTCTTAACCGTTTTAGGATCAAATTTGTTCTAAAAAATAATTGTGTATAAATTTATGGTTGCAATATATGATAGCAGAATTGTACCTGTATAATTTTATCAGCTAATTCCTTCATTTCCTTTTTAAGTTTTTCATCGTTGGATAGATTAACTTCTAGGCTCAGCAAATCTTTGGCTAATAATTTGCATAGTTCCTTATTGTTGGAATTATTAACCATTTCATTCAGGAATATTAAGGCTAATGCATTGTGTGAGTTTTCCTTGTTCGGTCCTACGGAAAGTGCATCTGGACGAGTGGTGTCTATTATGAAATGGGTAATAGTTTCGGGGCGAATATCATGTAAAGGACTGTCGTATGGAGCCGTAAGAACAGAATTAACTGTAGCCATTAGGCACGGTTGCAGCAATCGTTGTTTCCTACTTTGTATAAGATTCTCAAGGAAAACACTAAGTATTTGATTTATTTCTGGTTCTACAAAATAAAAAAGGATTTTAAGTGTTTGATTTTTCATTTGTTTACTATTTACCTGTTGTTGGATTAAAATAGCGAAGTAACAACTTTTCTATTATGTCACGATTATCAATATGTCCATGCAACACCAATCGACAAAAACCGTCAATAATAGCTCTTACTATGCACATATCATCGCATGTATCCAAAAAATGTGACATCATGTATATCACGCCAACGCCTTGACCCAATGTAGCCGAATGTACGGTATCTTCATCAGCGTCTATAAACTCTAGAGTGTTGTACAACTGCCGCCCAGCTTTCTTTGATTTATTTTGTTCCTCTTGAACCACAAAGTTATCTACTCCATAACGATCTAAGAGTTCAAATATGCATGAAATTGCAGTTTCCCATATTCGAATATTATGATTTTTAAAAAATTGAGCATATAATTCATCGAAAACATCTTTGGCTAGAGGTTCGTACAGCATACTGAAAGCAGCGCCGCATTTTAGAGCCCAGTCACGTATTGCTATTTGATTTGAAGCAATATTTCGAAATATAAAATCCTAAAAAATATTTATGTTATTATGTTTTGAAACCAAGCACTTTATATACATACATTATAGAGACGACACGTAGCGTGGCCCAAAGATTTTACTCGCTTAGAAACCACCATGTAATATGTTACTTGTAGGCCACGTAGAATACATTCATTCTTGACAACTCTCGAAAATTGTGGCTGAACTTCGTTCCCGGATTCGCTATTGCGCTTATCCAATAACGGCCGTAATAAATTTGTGAACTCTTCGGTAACCGTATTCTTAATTTCAATTATCTGCTGTGCTCTCACATAGTCCTTCATTTGAACGTAATTCATTTCCTGTTCTTCTAAGTCTAAAATTTTTACTTTTAACGAAGACAATTTAAGGTTTAAAGCAGCATCGGTCGAGTTGGCCAGCAACTCGCTTATAAGATTTCGGTCATGTACTAAATCCTGTTGTTTAGCATTTAATCCACATATATCGTTAATGATATCTAAAAAGAACTATGAAAGGGATGTCAGAAACAATTAATAGCAAAAAAGAGAAAAAATTATTATACCTGATGTCGAGCATCTTGATTTATCATAAGGTTCTCTGCACATTTTACAATGACCTCGACTACTTTTTCATCTAAGTTGTAGTTTTTCAACAGGTTCTCCAAGAGAGTCTGCAAGTTGCCACGACCAATTTCATCGCCCAAATCAAACATATGTAGAATTTCCATTAGCGAAAGCAAAACGTACTGGAATTCCATTGCTTCAAATTTATCCATTTCACGTTTTCTAGATTTACAATAAAAGTCCACATAGGAACAAAATACACTCAACTCTGGTAGTATCAAGTCCAATTCTTCAGCCAACTCATTTTGGAGGTGCTCCGTCAAACATTGCCAGTAAAAAGCAGTCTCAATATTGAGATTATCATGGGGTACGCACCGATAAAATTCACCCTCTGTTTCCAAAGGAAGACAAACAATAAGCTCGTCTTTACTATGTCTCCTATATTGAAAATATATATTTAGACAATTTTCTTCTACGAAAAATCACCACACTTACTTGAAAATTTCCTTCAATACTTGTTTACCAATTTTTCGGAAACGGTTCAATTCGCTTTCATTTGAATCTAACTTCAGCGCACCAATTAGTCCCACAAGGTCCTTTTGATAAGACTCAATCCATTGCTGAAGCATAATAGTAGTTACTACTTTTCGTACAGATTCATTGCGATCATTTAAGCCTTGTTCAAGTAACATAAGACGTTGTGAGACCTTATATGATCGGACGGGAAAACTGCTCATGTGTAAATACGTATGACGTCTAACTTTATCATCGATGTCCCACAGACGATCCAAAATGTAGGGAATTGTATGATAATTACGACCCATACATGTGATAACAGCTTGCCGTACTCGAGGTGATGGATCAGAGCACAAGTGGTATTGATATGAACGTAGCACTGGATCATCTGGATTGTCAGGAACTTGCAAACGCTGCATAGCAAGTATGGCCTGAACACGTACACTGGGTGCCACATCTACCAATCGACCTACCATATACTCCAATATATTATCACATATAACATCGTCCAGTGTAGCTTCCTGCCCCAATGCATTTAGAATCATATTGACAAACTGACACAATCTGAACCGTACATGCGGATTGTTTGAAATTGTCTAAAAAAATACCATTGCAGACTATGAACATATATCAAATGTTTTGTGTACAACTACTTACAGTGAGCAGCCATCGACATGTGTCGGACATCAGTGGGTGTGTTTCATCACCCTCAAAGGAACCAACAAATTTCGCGCAGAATAATAGCGTCGTATGTGCAAACTCGTTAGTTTCATCAGCCACCATGGCCGATTTGATCATTTTTATGAATGTATAAATAAAGGCATCATGGTCCATCTATTCTCAAATTAAAAATATATGAATATACCGACCGACAGACCCCAGATGTCAGAGGCATGCTTACCTTTTCGTATATTTGTCTTAGTTCTTTTATATATTTCTTGTGATACGTTTCATTTAGTTGAATTTTGGACATAATGGTGTATATGGGTCCATTGCTAATAACTGATGTGTTACTTGGAGATATATTATCTTGTAGCTCTTCCTCGTTTTCCTTCTCCTCCCCAGCGGCCACAGGCACTTTTCGTTTTCTTCCCATTTCCACAATAATATGTTACTCACAATTTGTTTATTAAGAATTCGCAAGCACGGAAAATACAATGGTATTTCGACAATACGACACCAAGCCAATATATGACGCCAAAAGTGACGCTCTTGCTGTTGATGTTACTGTTTGTTTTTTAAATAATAATCCAAAAACTTGGCACCACTTTTAAAAAAACTACAGCCGTCAGAAAATAGGGGCTATTATTTTTTTATGAATGACATCAAGTTTATGCCCTGTTCTGACGGGCATTTGAACAACGTTGTTCGCTCTCACGCAAACGTACATGAATTAACACTTTCATACAACACTATACAATCAACTCCTGGAACACATCGGGGTTGAGCATTTATTTGGTCTTTGTATTTTCCTGCAAATAATACATATAGATTTTAATTTTAATAAGTGATACATATTTCCAATGAACTTACCTGTCATATTTACTATCAGCTTAATATAAGCAATCAATTAATTTTTGTTATTTTTACTGTGATATTTATTTAATTTATTCTTAATAATTCTTTGGCATTATTTTAAAGTATTCATTTGTTTACATTTGTAAGCGTTCTGTTTGTCAATTTACTCAATCTGCCTGCTGGGAAAGTTTGATAAAGCAAATCTTTCTTCGTGGAATAACTCGCAATTCCCAGCATTTTCATATGTGTTACTCATATAAGTGGCAATGGCTCAATAAGACGAATGATGTGGAAGCAATAGAAATATAAATTTGATAGATTATCATTCATGTTTTTCAATTTTATTTTAAAAATTCGAAAATATTACATTTTTCAAATAATTAAATCTTTTTCATAATTTGTATGTTTGTTTACATTTTTCGGTCAAATGACGTTGACACTAGTATTACTTACAAAAACAAATTTCCATGTGGTTGTTGTATCGTTTGTTGTACAACAACACTTGCTGTTACCTTCTATTATTATACCATGAATGTGTTAGAATAAGACGTATATAGTTCTAACTCATGATGCAATAATAAGGTAATGTACCACAAGAAAAACCTTTGTTTTATGTCTCGATTATCTGTCAAAGTTTTCCATATAATATTTCAAATGGTTGGCAACACTGCACATCTAATTCAAGTAGAAATTACCCACTTTGACAGTTAATCAAGACATCAGCTGCGCTAAATGGACTACCAATTCATTGTGCCTTGGTTCTAACTAAGCGAATCATTACCTGTACATGAAACTATGTTATCGAAAAGAAGAAGAGACTCAATAATTTTACTTAATTTTACTCAATAAATTTTACTTTAGGGCTAAGCAGGATGCTCGCGTTGCTCGTTGTTTCATGTCACGCGTTAACGCATCAAAAGTTAAACTATGTGAAACTCCTTTTGGCTGCACTCAATAACGCGCACTGACTCGCGTCAAAGTTAAAAAATTTTTAACTTTCGACGTCATGGCGCGCGTTTCATGTTGACATTTGTATGTTGACATTTCAATGTACAAAAAATGGCGGCAATTGCATTCTATTGTTATTCGAGCAACAACAACAAAAATTACCTCTGAAATAAAAGATTAAAAAAGAACAAAATGCTTGAAGAAAAACTAATAAATTGCGTGCAGCAACACCCTTGTATTTACGACAAAAGTATTAAATCATATCGTAATAAAATTATGAAGGAAAGGGCGTGGGATGATGTAAAGTAGTTACTTACTTCATACAACACTAATCTTAATTCATATCATCAGAGTTATTTTTTTCAAAATTTCTGTTTTTTTTTTAATTTTAACAAATTTGCGTGAATCACATATGCATATAAATAGAAAAAATAAGTATATCTATCCTTAAAGTACATTTACATATACGATTTTAAATCGACTCGATTAACGAAATCCAGAAATACACATTAATTGTTTACACATACCCTTAATCATGATATAAATGCCGATCAGCTGATGTTTGTTCGTATACATACAAAATTATTAATTTGCGCCAAAAATATTTGTTTGCAATTTGAAAAAGAATAGAAGAATTACCACAATGGAAATGTTTTTGCAATACTGTGATCGTTTGGAAAGTAAAAAAAAAACACCTAAAAACACAAAAATTCTATAATTAATTTTTATTTTCCTTTGATCTGTCATTTTTGTATTTGTCAGCCGTTAAATTTAAAAACAAGCGGCATGTGAAAACAGTTGCAAATTTTGGTACATTGTGAGAGAGTTGTATTTTTTCGTACAAAACCCGCGTTGCATCACAGTAGTATCATGATTTCGATCATGATTTAAAATAAATCCTGCTGCACGATGATTTCAATTTGTGTGGTAAATTTAGCCTGATTAAGAAAATAAACCCTGATTCAGCCTTTAATCATGATTAAATGTTATATGTAAATCCGCTTTTACTATGGTATGAACCTATGCAACTATGCACGTGGGGCTTCTTCTGCCAAAAATAAAATAAATATACGCAACAGGTGTTTGTGTTTATTTGACATTTTTTTTTCAAAACAAAACTAAAAACGCGAAAAATGAATGAAAGGTTAGGATTTCTTCCCAAAATCAAGTAGGGAATACCATAAAATGTTTGTTTCATTTATAACAAAGTAATTACTTCCAGAAGAACGTGTTAAAAACATCATTTTAATTTCAATTAAACTTGAATATTTTTCAATTTATTTTGAATTTATTTGACATTGCATTCAAAACAATACACACACATGCACAAAATATGTATTTTGATTTGATGGAACAAGCCAACAAGCTTGAGAAAAAATTGTAATCAGTTAGTAGCTGTGTCCTACCTTGTAATAATTATACCATGGTATAAACCCATTTCTATTTAATTTTAATTCATGTCTTCCATTTTTCTCTGAAAATATTTTCTCAATTCAAATATCACATTGGATATTTGCTTCTGATTTTGTCCGCTAATTAGAACTAAAGGGGAACAAATGCATATTGCATTAAGTATATAACATATGTGTATAAAAACTACAATTTTGTTTACATTTAATTTATCACATTCAATTTTACTGAAAAATGTTATAAATATTTTCATTGTGTCAAAATTAATTGTTTCCATTAATACTTCAAAAGTTTGGGATGGGAATTTCGTACATACAAACCTATTCAGTCTAAAAGTTTGTCACCATTACCATGGTACAATTATTCAGCAATAGCAACTTATAAATTACAAATTTTTCATACTGTGGCTTGTTATGCCAAAGTCAAGGTGTATTTAATAAGGTGTATGCATCAGATACAACAACAAACATTTTACAAAAACAACATTGTTGTTATAGAAATTATATTGTCATTCTGAAAATTAGTTTTTGTCAAAAATAAAAAAAAAACAAATATTTATCTGTTTTCATTTTTTGCCAACAAATAATCTATGAGGAATTGAAATCTTTTTTTTATTTTTTAAAATTTACCACATCCTGCCCGTGACTCCTATATATATATATATATATATATATATTTAATTGTGGCTTCCAAATCAGCCCTTCTCAGTGGAAAAGTTGTGTGCCATAAATCGCCGTGTGTGACAAAACCAATGGACAGCGGCCTATATCAAGTAAAAAGTAATAAAAGTACATTTACATATACGATTTTAAATCGACTCGATTAACGAAATCCAGAAATACAACCTAATTGTTTACACATACCTTTAATCGTGATCTAAATACGGATCGGCTGATGTTTGTTAGTATACATACAAAATTATAAATTTGCTGCAAAAAAATTGTTTGCAATTTGAACATGAAACGAAGAATTACAACAATGGAAATGTTTTTGAAATGCTGTGATCGTTTGGATATTATAAAAAAAAACAATGAAAAACACAAAATTTCTATAAGTAATTGTTTTTTTTTTGTATTTGATAACCGTTAAATTTAAAAACAAACAACATGTGAAAACAGTTGCAAATTTTGGTACATTGTGAGAGAGTTGTATTTTTTAGCACAAAAACCGCGTTGCATCTCAGTAGTATCATGATTTCGATCATGATTTAAAATAAACCATGCCGTACGATGATTTAATTTTGTATGGTAAATCATGGTAAATTTAGCCTGATTAAGAAAATAAACCCTGATTCGTCCTTTAATCATGATCAAATGTTATATGTAAATCCGCACATTTTTTCGTCATATGATGCTTGTAACATTTTCTGTTCCTATAAATGTATTTTTTTTTGTTGAGCATAATTCATGGTACAATTATAAAAGGTAACAGCAAATCCCAGCTGATTTGATTCCAACGTTATACTAGTGTCAATATGAATTTGACAAATTATGTTTTTAAAAATCACCCAACAGGAAAATTGGGAACGCATACAATTTAAAATTGTTCTTTATTAAATGTGCTCCTGTATTCAATTTACTCAATCTGCCTGCTGGGAAAGTTTGAGGAAGCAAATCTTTCTTCAAGGAATAACTCGCTATTCCCAGCATTTTCATATGTGTTACACATATATATGGCAATGGCTCAATTATAGGAAAGATGTGGAATAGATAGAAATATAAATTTAATAGATTTTCATTCATGTTTTTCAATTTTTATTTTGAGGATTCGAAAATATTTCATTTTCAAAAAAATAATAATTTGATGATAATTTGTTTGTTTATTTACATTTTTCTGTCAAATGAGTTGACACTAGTAGAACTTACAAAAACAAATTTTCATGTGGTTGTTGTATCGTTTTTTATACAACAACACTTGCTGTTATGAGCATAATTGAAATTTGAAGGAAATGAAAATTCGAAGAAATTTATTTCACAAACAATAAAGAAAAAACTTTAAAACCATATGGTTGTCACTTACACCTAAAAATGTGTTTGTAATGTTTTGAAAAATATAACAAAATATATTCGAAAATCGATTTGTTTGAAGATTCGTAAGAAAAAATGTATTACTTGTGAATGAATCAATATATAAGTCATATCCCCAACTCGATTTTGAAAGGAAAACCTGAAAACCCATGGTAAAAATATGTTAAATGAACAGAGCGACTTGTTGCAATTG